ATATGGCAAGGTGACGCCGACGTGTCAGCCGAGGTGCCACGTGTCCTGGTCGTGATGCCGAGGTGATCTCGGTAAGGCCGAGGTTATCTCCGAACATATCGGAAACAGAGATAGTGGATAAGGGACAAGAGTCCTAAAATAAAGAGGGAACTTAAACTTGGATATGGACAAGAGTCCTAGATTGGAAGAAGACTTCAGTTTGGGTAAAGATAAGACTCTTAGAGAGTTTATCCTAATCCCACTGGGAGTCCCAGATTACAGTAATCCTAAGTCCATTAGGGGCAGGCTCCTTTTGGGACTAGATTGTATTGGCTATAAAAGAGAGGCACCCCCATGGGTCTAAGGTATGCTTTTGATACTCAAGCTTGTGAGTTTAGTATTTGATTTATCCTTAAGAGATATACTGACTTGATCTCGGAGTGTCCCCGGCTGGTCGAAACCACCGCGGGATTCTTATATTTCTGTTGCAGGTCAGTCAGGTGCCATCTATTCTGCCAGTGCTCTCCAGCTGGTTACTAAACAGGCAGTGTGGTCGGAAAATCACCCACACAGTAGGATTACTTTATTATAAGCTAGCAGGGACTGAGGCTAGCTTGGTTGAATAGGAGGTTGGTGGACCAAAAAACACTTGAATTAAGGCCAAAATCTCAAGTGTGATATCTTGGTTGTAGAAGGAGGGGAGATTTTGGTCTCTTTTTGGGATTGCCAAGAATAGAAATGCAGCAGTGGCACATTATTTGTGGTTAGAGTGGGAATAGGGTATTTTGGATGTGTCCTTTTAGGTAGGCACTACAGGCATTATTGGAAGTGTGAGGGGTTGGAGGTTCTTTTCACTTTATCGTATAGGTTGTCTTTTATTTATTTATTTATTATTATTATTATATTTAAAGCTTTATTTTGTTATATAATCTATCAGGACTCGAAAGGGGGGATGACATAAGGTGGAATAAGGTCTAGATCAAGAAAATTTGAAAATTGAGTCCTTTTATCAAATGCTTTGCTTGGTGGCAGGAGCCAGGGGGATTAGGGGTCTTGACCCCTCCAACTTTTTTTTAAAAAAAATTATTTTATATGTATGCTTTTGTTAATTTTTTTTTATATATTATATAATGGCCCCTCAATTTCAATCTAACACTTAAAAAAAATTATAGACCTTAGGCCTTACTTAGGAACAGGTTATTTTAGTAATTTTTTGATTTTTTGGCTAAAATATGAACTAAAAAAAAATTAGTATACTTAGAATGACTTTTTGATTTTTTACGAAAAGATATGCAAAAAGTAGATAGAAAATAGAAATTTTAACTTTTTAGTATAAATTTCAGGCTTTTTGGTTTTTTTAGTAATTTTTTTACTTTTAGGCTAAAACAAGCACATGCCAAACGAGGCCTTAATATAGTAGAATTACCTTTCAAAGAAACATTTACAATAATATTATGATGATCATATTTTCTTATTATATTGTTTATGCTCTCATATGTCAATGCTACAGTAGTATCAAATATGAGTGGTTGAGGTAATAAACAAATTTTGTTTAAAAAAAAAATGATCATTCTAACATTATTGAAACAACACCCAATTAATACACATTAATGTGTGATTGAGAAGGGAAATATTAGGTACACACCTAACCTTTGACATAGTGCATAAAGTGGTTTTTCCGAGATTTGAACCCATAACCTCAAGGTTATTAGATCAAGGTTTAAAAAAAAAATGAAAAAAAAAAATTCTAACATTATTGAAAAAATTTAATCCGGTCCATATTAAAAACAATATAGTTTACTTGTGAGTTTCTATAAATTTATTTAATGGAATCACTCGTAAAATTTTATATACCTAAGGATATTGTATAATAGATTAATTATATTAAGATTTTTTTTACTATTACCAAATATCACCTTACTGTTTATCTATAAATTCTTACATTTTGACCTCCTTAACCATAAAATTCATACAAATAATATTTAATTAAGACTAATCTCTTATAATTTTATTGGTCCAATTGGCTTCTATTAAATAATATTTAATAATGCTTTAATCAAATAAAATTCCAACGGATCCATTAACAACTTGATAGATTTATCCTATGCCTTCTCTTTGGTGAAATGGCCCCCCACCGGAGGAATCCTGGCTCCGTATAAGCATGCTATATTGGATGTCTTGTTTGTTCACTAATGTCGCTATGAACATTTGTTAAATATTCAAGTTACCCAAATGTTGTACAAATAACAATGTCTGTCCTTGTTGTGTCTCGTGTGTATGATTCATTTGTCTTAAGAAATTACTGAACTAATTCTCAACATACATGCATCAAACCTCAAAATCATCCAAAATTATCCTTAATCTTGTTATAACTCAAGGCTGAAAAGAACAAATGCTAATGCAAATCTGAAAATTAGCACAATAAGTTAGTAAATCACCTGGAAAGGAGACTTTGTGTCCAGGAACCAACACTGCTACAATGTTTCCAATGACGTCAAGATATGAACAACTGGTCTGTACCCACGAAATTTCCCTGCCACAATCAGATGAATCAGGTGTTTTGGGATATGACACTACTGAAAAATCCACTTTTAGCGACGTTTAAAAAATGCCGCTAAAAGCACTAAAAACGTCACTAATTCTTTTTGTGACGTTTTGTATTAAACGCCGACGACGTGACTGTCGCTATAACTTTATGGCCTTTGAAAAACATTGTTATATTAGTATAGGCGGCGTTTTAAAAAAAACGCCACCAAATGTCCTACCTAGCTGTATTATGACGTCACTATGGACATTTAGCGACGTTTTTGAAAACGCCGTCATAGACATTTATACATTTTAAAATCTAACCATTGGAGCGGGATATAATGACGTTTTTTAAACGCCGCCAAAGCCTTTTTTTTTAATTTTTAAATTGTGCTAATTTAATATGGTTGAACAAAAACAATACCTGTCAAACAATTATCAAGAACTAATAATTGATGTTTATTTAAATAATAAATAAACTAAGCTTGAAAACAAAATAAAAAATAAAAAACAATGCATTGCATACCTAAGAATAGAAACAATTCAGATTTTAAATACATCAATTAAAATCAAAATGGTCAAGAAGTGTAATTTCCCCAAAAAATTAAAAAGGAATAGAAAGCACACTAATATGGCTTATAATATTAAAAATACCACTTGCTTTCCAACTATATCCAAAGATGAGCCTAAACTATATGCAACAGATGATACATTTGGAACCATACAATACGCTATAATCCAATTAAACAAGATAAAAAGAATTAGAGAGAGGGAAAAAAGTAAAAGAACAAGAACAAATAAAAAAAATTTCATCATATTCCCTCCAATGGCTTTTTTCCCTCTCCTCTCACATAAATTCTACATGTAGTAACTTCATATCCATCATGATGATCATTCAGAGTTAAATAGCTTCTCACAATCAAACAGAGTTGGTTTCAAATTATTCTATCTTGTCTTCTTCCAAATCACCGTTCGATACCTCGTTGTTTCCACCGTGTACTGATCCGACTTCAAGTGGACTTCGAATATCCTTTGAAGGCGTAGGAGATGGTTTTATGAGTGTCAAAGTATTATCATCCCTGTGAAACTCTTCACTTGCTTCTCCCGAGTAAGTATAGCTGCCACATGTGAAAATATTCAATGTAGAGACAAGAATATAATTGACAATTAATTTTTATGACATAGAAGAAGCCCTCTGTGAGGAGTTTGCGGCTAATTTCTATGTTCCACCATAAAATTGATCAAAAGTTGGGGAGATTTTTCCTGGACACTCAAGTCTCTACGAGTTATTATGACCTAATGTGACAACAATCATAATACTCACAAATTACGACCTCAAGAATTAGTGATTAGAATAACAATATCATGCGTCGAGCCTGCACATCAAATCGATAAACAGATGTTACTTCAGTGGATTTTTCAGAATTCAGGCAGCAATACTTATATCACATATCAATAAAATAGTAACGTAGGTGTCATTTCAGAATGCAGCATAACATAAAAGGAAAGTACTTTCCCCTCTCTTTGCAGACAGTGAGGCCAAATGAAGCCCAAGCTTACTTATATAAAATTCCAAGGCACAAGCAGAAAAATATGCACAAAATTTAGTCATGGGCCCTAGCAGTGTTGAATGGGATACAAAGCACAAAATACAAAGAACACACATCACACCTTGACCTGCAAGTAAAATTTATTAAGATTCCTCACTATTTTCAATTTTCAAGAGCTAATGGCCATTAAATTGACATTGGCACTATAAAACAGTTGATTCATTATCGTTGCCCAAATTTTAGGGCTGATAATGAGGCTAAAACCCTAACCTAAAGTAGCCACAATCAAACTTTTGCATAGAGAAGTATTTCACAAACCATACAGCATAATTGAATTTCCTATTTCTAATTCAGTGGTCATAAGATCTAATGGGTAGTGAATAAAAAAATACATACGAAAATTATATAGAATAACGTGTTGAGTTGTGAGCCTATCACTTTAAAATAAAAAATCCGTCAAGGTGACTTTTACTTATAAAAATGTCATTGTCATGTCATTTTGGTTGATTTCTGTAAAAATAATTTTATCGAAAAATAGTATTTTAATCTGTAACTGATCCTGATGGTGAAATCTAACCAGAAGACAATGTTGAAGAAACATTAGCAAACAGTTAGATTCATGAGAGAGAGAAGAGAGAGAGCGGGGTATATTCACATTAATGAAAAATGGTTAGAAAAAAGAAAAGAAATGGCATACTGTTAATTGTTGGAGAGCGACCAGGTAATCTGAAAGGTATTTAACAGGAAGAGTGATGATGAATCCTCGCCCGGTATCATCAAATCTATCATATTATCTGAAATTAGATCGTCATTGGCTCTTCACTTGCATCATTCAGCAAAACATCAGCTATATCTTTTGCAACTTCTGATCTGCCTCTGTTCTTCCTTTTCGCTTCGATGATTTTATGTAGTAATTCAACCATTTTCTTCTTTGCCTGAAACAACCCATCTTCAAATTTATTATTTAATTTCTCATAATAGTGTAAAATAAGAAAAATAAAGAAATTAATGTGACTATATAATTAACTTGCCTGTAATGACCTGTGGAGTCTACTTCCAGGTATGTTAATTGGTAAAGACATGAGACCAGCCATGAATTCTTGAAATTGTTTCTTTAGAAACTCCGTGTCATCACTTGATCCATGCTAACCAATGCCTTCACTAGCACTTGAAAAGCAATCTGAACAGAACATATGGACCTTCTTTAGTATAAGTAACATCTTTAAAGAGTTTAGAAACATAATTTTACTCTTACTAATATATTAATGAGGATTAGGGAACATAATTACTTTGTATGTAATATGGTTCATCATTACTTTGGACTATTAAGGATAGAAAAAATTAATAAAAAAGCACTGCATACTTGCCATCAACTCCAAGGAAAATTAATAAAAAACACTGCATACTTGCCATTAATTAGAAAAAATTAATCAACTTGACATTCACTTCCTTTGGTTTTTCTGGAAAACTTGACTAACTGCATACTTGCCATCAACTCCAAGGAGTTCATTTTCTCCCTGCTAAAGATAACTTGAATAACCCAATTTTTGTCAACTGTTGAGGGACCAAATTATAAGGAAAAAAAGTTAATCTCAAAAAGAAAAAGAAAAAAAAATACAAAAGATTGCTATTCAATTCATCACATTATGCACTATAACTTCAAATTAAAAAAAGCAATGTTAAGGGATCTTAAAAATCTTAGATT